ACAAGACAAATTATTTTCAAAACATGATTTGGATATTTTGATTCTCTCTCACATTATATTTGTTTATGCTCAGGTAACAGTTGACTGCAATCAAACTCAACTTTGTAGTCTCATTCAACAAATGATCTTCAGCATGAAACTTTGCAATTAACTTTTGATCATTCACAGTACAAATGTTTCTGATTTGGATTACATTTTTATCTTTATTAAAATATAAGAAAAGCAATTAGTATGTCTAAAATTTTGATTGTTATCTTAACCTTGGTGTTAAAATCAATAAGTGAACTTATATAAATTCTGACTAAAATAAAAAAAAAAGAAAACAAAAAAATCTTACATTAATATGAGAGCTGTTATAACACAATCCAAAGAAACATTTGGAATTAAATCAAAGTAAAATGCCCCTAATGAAATCTAGCAACAAAAATAGAACATATTTTCAGGCTATTTTAGTTAAGAAATAAAAGCATTTTTATATAAATTAAATTTAAGGATTATTTTTTTTTTAAATTACAAATCTTATTTAAATGAGATGTGCGCGTATTTGTGGGAAACAAAATTAGAAAGAAAAAAAACTCCTTGCTTGTGAAGTGTTGATAAAAAATAGCAGCCGAAATAATGGAGGCTAAGCCACATGTACATGCAGTGTGACAAGGCAATAATAATAATAATAATAATAATGATAGCACTAAATTAGGAATGTCTAGTCTAAGCCCCGATTCAACAAGACAAGCCAACAATATGGCAAGAACTGCTGAATCAAAAATGACAAATAAAAACCATTGCTTACCAACTGCAGAGCCTGGACATTAACAGAGAAGGAAATCAAATTTAGACATTTAAAAAACAAAATTCAAAATCCAGTTTATAATCTCAAAATAAAAAGGATGGATAAATTTAGTTTGAGAGTTTTATATTATTCATTATAATGAATCTAGTTTAATTTTATGAAAATGGGAGATTAGAGAAATAAAAATCACATACATAAATTTCAAAGAAAGGGATTAGATATTTAAAAAAAAAAAAAATGAAAATGAATACATTTTAAAAATAAGAGAAAAATTTCATATTTTTGAAAGAATTGAAAAAAAAATTAATCTGTCAAATCATACCTTAAAGATTATAAATGACTGGTTAAAATAATCAATATAACATTTACTTTAATATCAATGCATAAATCTACTTGTGAGAATAGGGCCTGATTAGTCCATGTTGTTTATTTTGTAGTGGGGTCTGCAAATTACCCAGTCAAATAATTATATTGGGATTAACTTCTGTATTAGCAGATACTTATGATGCATTTTAAAGTGATTGTAAAACATTAATTTTGCACTTAAAGACAAATCAATATAACTGGGTAAAAAGCAAATATTTAGCCATTTTTCCTGGATCAATTTAAAAAGTGAGTGATCTTTTGTTCTTACAGAATTATTAATGTTAAAAAAAAAATTAAATTCATGATTTAGTATGTGTATGTGTTTAAATGTCAATCATGGAACACAACCAAAAATGGTTTAAAGAGAAGAAAAAATATTTATATAAGCAACAATATAAACAAAATTTAATGGATTCATTAATCAAATCAAAGATTTAGAAGTAATTAATACAAAATATCTGAAAAATCAAAAAAATAAATTATGGGGAAATTTTGAAATTAGTTTCAAATATTTGAATACAAATTTTCAAGTTTTTATTAAGCCTCATTAATTCCATTGTAATCTGTAATTTGTCATGACAAAGAAAAGGTATAGTATCAACACATTGTAATTACTGAGGTTGTCATTATAGAGAGAGTAGATTTTTCATGTATTCAAACTTTTTACCAGATTCCATCACAATGCTTTGTGTACCAAATACAAGTGCCTGCATAATTATTTCCTTCAATTTTCCACCAATATAATTTTTTAGTTAGCATGGCATGTTTGTTATTTTTCAAACAATGCAGAGGCATCACAAATTATTTTGTTCTACATTTATTAAACTGTATAAAAATTTATGGTGGAACATTTGTTTGAACTGGCACATTTATTATATGTTGAAAAATTCCCACTTGTATTTGGTATAAAACAGTCAGGGGCAAAATCATGATAAAATAACAATGAATTATGCAAAAATGGATTCAGGTCTTTTTTAAATGTATAAAACAATATCCTGATTGAAATTTGAACTTGAATTAATAATCATATTTTTTTACTGGGTTTATTTTGATTTCTGCTAAATCCAAGTCAATGTATTGTTTTTTCTAGAATTTTTCATTTGAGTTGAAATATAATAATTAAAAGATGAATCTTAATGGCAAAGTTTAAAAAAAAGTGTAATTGTTAACAAAAACATCAACACAAGTTAAACAAATTTTGTAAATAATAAAGAATAAAACAATTTCTAATTATTATTATTAGAATGTTACATTAAAATGTCTTTTGTCTGAATAATAATAATAATCTGAAAAAAAATTATCTTCTGTTTAAGAAATTCATAAGCAGTACTTCTCAAAAATTGGAACTAGAAAATTGTTAAATAAGAACAAATTTTCTTAAATATATCCAATTAAAATTTATGTGAAAGCTTTGTAAATAAAAGCAAATGAAAAGTTTAAGAATTTGGCAGTTATTTTCATTTTAATTAAATTTTAAAGTTTTATTAGGTAAAATGTAATGACTCAAAATATAAACAAAAGCAGCAAGTTTTATTTTCATTGTATTAAAAAATAATTTTCAATGTTTCATGCCTACTAACCCATAAAAATCAAATTGGTTACATTAGAATTACTTCATGGATTTTAAAATGTTTAAAAATGCATACAACATAATTGTATTTAGGTTTTCATTTATGCTATGAAAAATGATACTTCAAATAAAAGAATTCACAGAAAATAAAAACATGCATTAAACAAGAGTAAAAATCCTATTAGAGGTACAAAATTACAACAATAAAACATACATAATTAAAAGGGACAAATAGGAAAACAACAATTGCAGTAATTGACATCATGAAAATAGGAGAAAGAAAAAATAAAAGTGAAAAAACAAAAAAATCATATAGAAGGAGCAAAACTGGTTATCACTCATTTGTCAGAACTCAAGCAAATTAAAATATTGTGCAAACAAAAGAATTGGTTGTTGGGAGTAAATGTGATTTGTTAATATACTTGTTTTAAAATATTATTGACACGGATATTTTCTTCATGTTTTCATTTTTTAATTGGTATGCACAATATTTGGCTTTTGATTTCCTTGATTGAATTCTGATAAGTGAGGAGTGACAACCGGTTTGCTCATTCATTGGATTTTTGTTTTTCACTTATTTTCCTTTCATTTTTGTATTGACAACTACTGTAGTTGTTACTTTCCTTTTACTCCTTTTAATTATACCTTTTTTATTGTCTTAATTAAAAATATCCTACTCGAGTTGATTAAAATTAAAATGACTACTTTAATCAAATTACATGACATGATTTTACAAGTTTGAAACTTGTATATCTTTAAAAAACAATGTCTCTACTGAAAGAGTTAAAAGATGGATTTTATAGCTAATTCTTCAAAAGGAAATGTTTAAGTCTGAATAGCAAATAACAGAAGTCATTAATATAAAGAGTTTATATTTTCTTTTCCTATATTATCATTTATAATTGCTGACTTCTTTTATACCAGTGTTCATCCAATACAACCTACAACACCCACTCAAAGTAGAGGGTTACTGTGTGGTGTTGTATTAATGTAAGAAAAAACAAGAAATGAAGTTCATTTGGTTATGTTTGGAAAGATAACGGTTAACGGTAGACTTGAAGAGGTCAAGATTGTAGTGATTGGGAAAAACCATGATGGGAGTCTGTTCTACAAAGCAGCGGTTCTTGGGAAGAAGCTGCCTGAATAGAACCTTTTACTAATGGAATATGAAGGAAATGGGGATGGTTCATAGTTGGGTACATGGCATGGCATGTCCCATTTGTAAAGGTCATGGGTGGTGGGACTAAATAATGTAGTCTGTCAGAATGCATGCCTCATGGAAATAGGGATAGATTTTTTTTTTTTAAACAAAACTAAATTTAAACTTTGTATTAATGTACATGAATCTTGGTTTTAAATTTGGAGGACTAATATTGAAAACTGCAGTATAATGAATTGGAGTTGCCACTTTAGCTGTAAAACCCTGTAATTAATAAAGAAAATATTGTAGTAAATTGTGAATTTAAAAACTGGTTGGAAGCCTGAAATTTCTTAAAAAATATTTAAATACTTTTTGAAATACATTGAGTGGATAGTGTAGAAGACAGTCTGAAATATGTCTTTTTTGAAAAAAAACAAAAAAAAAAAAAAAAAACAAAGAAAAACAGTATTTTCATTCTTTCTGTTCTATCACAAGTAAAATTATTTGGATTTTCAAATTGCATGAAATTTGAACAAAATGAGATCTGAATTTGCATTGCATATGTAAATGCCAACACACTTGGCAATTGATGCCACCAAGAATTAAACAAACTATAATTTTGTTATTTATGTCTTTTTAAAACTTAATAATAATGCTTGAGTTTCAGGTATTGAGGCAAAATATTTTTAAACAAAGATTTTTTTAATTAAAATATTTATTGTTTGTATTCTATTAAATATATTTTGTATTTTGTAGCAAATATAAATCTAGTAAATATAATGAAGAGAATGCCATTTCATTCTTGTTGGCTTTGTTGTTACATGTTACATGATATAATAAACACCTGTGATATACTTCAAAGCTTATTTCTTTGTTTTCAATTAATCAAATTTAAATATGATGGTTTGTGGAATATATTAACTATACAATATTGTGGAGATAATTCAAATTAAATATCCTTAAAGCTGGATGAAAATTATATCAAACTCATAATTTATATCTTGAGAAAAGGCATGCTACTATTTTCATTGTACTAAATACAAAATTTAAGTTCCATGAATGCATGTTTAACATCTTGTGAAATAAGAGATTTCATTGATTACTGAAGACCAACCATTTTGTTAGAGACCAACCTTTTGTAAAAACTGTATTAAGAATATCTTTGAGTTCAAAGGCATCAATTTCCATATCGTCTCCTGCAATTTCTTTGAAGTTATTCCTCAGTTGTTCTCCTTGTTCCCATTCTTCATCAGTTGGGCCAGAATCCACCTGTAATTTTTAAGAAATTGTTAAATTTAGAAAAAGAAAATTCAGAAAGTAGGTTTAAGATTTAAAGAAAATTAAAATATATTTGGAATTGAGAGAAATAATATGTACTGTTTGGAAATTGTATTTCATTCATTTGGGTAGCATATATTTTGAACTAAAATTTATACATAATTTAAAAAAAAAAAAAACTATTAAAAAGCTACTTATAAAATTAAAATTCTACTAATAAAATTATTTCAGTCACATTGGTATCTTAATGAACATTAATGCCATTACAGTATTTTAACATTAGCTTTTATATTGTAGTTTGATAACCTTGGAATCATTTTGAAAGAAATCCTTTAATCCAAAGTTTCAAAGATGAAAAAAAAAAAAAAAAAAAAAAAGCAAAAAAATGGCTGGTGAAGTGAAATAAAATCTTAGCTACGAACAGAAAAGTTCTAAAAACTAATACAAACTTTTCTATAAATACAGTGAATAATTCCAACCAGCTTAAATATTAAAACACTGGCAAATTCCAGAAAGGCATGTATAATTACTGAAAAGGCCTTGATCAGGAAAAGGATTCATTATATTTCCTAAAACAGCAACTAGAGGAATCAGTCCATAACCATGAAAAATCCTTTCTTACCTGGAAAACATTAATACAACAGGAAAAAAAAAAATGTGCAAAATTCAAAAGTCACCAGAAGCTAAAAGCCCCCAAAATGGGATGTTGCAATCCATTCAAAGCAAGTAACAATACCAGCAAATACCAGTTCATTTTAAGTGATGCTAAACAAAAGTATAAATTTTGCAACTATCACCCAACAAATGTTATACTTAGACATCATAGCCTCCAATTGAGGATGCTGCTATGATTTTTAAACTATAAGTGGACAAACTTAGAAAAGACAAGCAATAGAGAGAGAGAGAGAGAGAGAGAAATTTGAAACTCAACTTCACAAAAAAATAAGCCATTGAAACCCAATAGATAAATAGCAGGCAAAGTAATACAATGGTTATCATGAATAAGGACAAATACCAATAATTGGCAACATAAAACAATTTGAGGAAATAGTCCATTGAATTATACCACTGAGACCATCTACCTGGTTGATTATGGAGATGATACCTTCATACTTTGAATTCACTAGTAAAATGCTAAAATGTTGTTATACCATATGAATTCTATAAGAGCCTCAACAGAGTTAAATTCAAAAGCCTCTGCCAGTCAACAATGACCATGGATTTGATCCCACCCATATGCTCTTCTGGAACATCAACTCTGGCTGAACAGGTCAATGTGTGAGTGGCAGTTTCTGTCACACAAATCATATCTGTGAATTGTCTGCGTGATATTTATGCTGTAGTGTTCTTTTCTCATATATGGAGGGAGAGAGACATCTGACATTTATGGATTGAAGTCAAAATAATAGACATCAGCAAAAAAGAAGTTTGAAAGAATCAAGCCCTATACTCTGGAACAGGATTCAACAACAAGGTAAGCTGGAAAGTGCATGGCCCAAATTTATAAAGAGAAAATTATTCAAAACCAACCAAATGCAGAGATGACATAATTAAAATTGCTAGATTAAGGAGGCTTACATTTTTAATTTTACTTTCTTCTGTCATGAAATATTAATAACGTAAAGAACTATTAAAAAAAGAAAAAAAGACTTGAAAATCTGACTGGAATAATAGCAGGAAGTTTGAATAATCATTTCTGAATAAAAGAAATAAAATTGTTTAAACTTACTTAAAACTGAAAAGTGAAACAGCCTAAACTATTTGTTTGAATAAATAAAAATTTATTTATTAAAAGATTCCATTTCATTGTTTACCATGAACTGTTCACAGTAAAATGTTTTTTTGCATCATTAGTTTTAAAAAGATATGAATTAAGGAAAAAAGAAAAGACAAAGTAAAATGTTACAAAAGTTAAAAAACAGTTTCCAAAATCACTAAAAGCTGAGGGAACATGCACAACCCAAGGGGAAAATCAAAACAAAGTATAAAAAATAGGAAAAAAACTTTTTTAAAGTATTCAATTTGAAAACTCAAGTTCTTAGGTTTCAGTTTGTCGAAGATGAAATTGAAAAGTAGAATCTTAAAAAACAAAAAAAACTGGCAATTATCTCCCTTGATGAATCAAGTTATCCACCATGTTCTCTTCAATTGAAACTCTTGACTGTCAATTTGACTTTTGCACACACACACTATATATATAAATTTATGAGACCTTTGATAAATACTATTCTTTTGATTCAGTGTGTATGGGGGGGGGTCTCAACAATATTATGTGATAATTGATCATTTACCGAAATTAACTGGTATTAAACTGATATTTTATGTGGAAGGAAATTGTTAGGATTGAAAGAATTAAATGGTGTTTTTATCAAAAATATTTTCTGAATTTGGCAGTATTTTGATAGCAATAAACATTTTTTGCCTGCACTTAGTAACCCCAATAATGTCTAAATTTTTTTTAAAAACTTAAATATCCTTTTTGAAAATTTACATTCTTTTATAATATAAGAAACATTAGTTGGTATCAGTCACAATAGCAACTGGCTTTGATAAATGAAAAAGAAAAAAAAAAGGCATTTAATGCTGTGATTTTTGGAGAGATACTTTCACCTGTTGACTTTAAACAACTTCTAAACATTTTTTTTTAAATAAAATAAGACAAAACCTGTTGGCTTCTACTTTCACAACATTTAAATCAATTTGAAAAGATTTGGAAAATAAAAGTTGAAAGAGAGAGAGGCGGGGAGAGAGAGAAATCAAACATTATTGAATGGAGGTTTGTGGAGACTTCAGGTATTTGATGAGTGAAGAACAGAATAACTCATTTTACAGGAATAGCTTTATACTGATATGAATGTATATTTGAAATAGAATAGAATATTAATCACTGACCCTACATTAAATGCAAGGTTAAGAGATTCAATAAACTTTGCAAATTAACAAAATAACTATGTTTGTCTAAGTAGAAGACAATCTAACCAAGTGTTAGTTGCTTGATTATTTTTATCAACAACCATGAAGCCAACACAAAAAGCTCGCACAAAAGAAGCTACTAATTACTAAAAAAATTTTTTCATGCAATTGAGTTGAAAATTCTTAAATAGCAAACAACTGAAAACAAAATACTTTTGCTCCTCTTAGATCAAAAGAGATTATGTTGAAATGCTAATCACATGTAGATTATGCTACCATTTGTCAAAATGATTACATTCAAGTTGACTTGAGTAAAGGAATAAAAACAAACATAATTTATCATTTTATAGATACAACTAACACTAGATTCACCATTGATAATGAATTAACATAAAATTAGTTTCACATTTGTTACTTCTAATAATTTTAATACTTAAATGTCCGTAAATGTAAGGGGTAAAATGTAGAATTCTTTTTGTGTTATCTCAGCTTGATCTGCTCACTTTAAAAATTAGCATAGAAATACAACACATTCAGTTATGAGACCAGGCTATATCAGTTTAAAGCAATTTAAGGCTCCGTACTCCTCACTTCAAAATTATTTGAATTTTTTTTTTAAACATTAGTTTGTATTCAAAAATAAAAAGAAAAAAGGAAAATCTGAGATAAACTTTTTGAGTTATTTTTTATTATATCTGTGGCAAATGTATATGAGAGAGAGAGAATGTGAGTGAGTGAGTAAGTGTATGTGTGTGTGTGTGTGTGTGTGTGTGAGAGAGAGAGAGAGAGAGAGAGAGAGAGAGAAAGAGTGTGTGTGTGTGTGTGTTTCTATTTTCATGTATAACTATTTCAATTTCTACCCGGGGTTTTTATTAAAGAGGCTTTGACACCTAGGTGTTACAGTTCTGATGCCCAATCTTACTTATTATAAAACGCAGATTGTGTGTGTGTGTGTGTGTGTGTGTGTGTGTGTACGTTTATATATTGGATCGGATTTCCTACATTTTTCAACCGATTTCAACAAAACTTTACAGGACTGCGTAAAATTACCTTGCGGTAGTTCTGACAGCGCCAAAAATTGGAAAAACACAATTGTTTTTGCATGAAATCAATTTGAAAACACGATAAAACGATTCTGTCACTAGAATTAAAGGGGGACAACTCATATCGTGTTATACTTATTATAAAACCCAGGTTGTGTGTGTGTGTGTGTGTGTGTTCCTTTGTATATGGGATCGGATTTCCTACATTTTTCAACCGATTTCAATATAACTTCACTTATTTTGGCAGGTAGTGTTTCTTATTGTCTTGTACACTTTTTTCTTTATTTTTAAATTCAGAATGCTTTAAAAATTCCATTTACAAGACAATTGTTTATAATAAAATTCTATTCATCAATCGATAGACTCATAACGATTGTAAACAATGTTTTTGTTTGAGTTTGACCAATTCGTAAAAAAAAACAAAAATAAAAAAACTAATTAAGACATGCGTGTCCGTCAACCTTAAGCAATAATCTTTGTCAATTTTATTTTTCAGTCTTCATGATGGTCGATACTTGATCTATCTCTTTCTGTTAAATCCCCGGGCAATGCCCGGCTCTACTGCTAGTCTCTTTTAAGTTGCTGAAGAGTCTGAAAAAAAAAAAAATGTCTTCAAAAGAGTCAGTCACTACGTATATCATTTTTTATTAGATATGTATATGTGCGGTGAAAGAGGAGAGAGTATAAAAAAGCTGTCTGTAGATAGTGGTGTAGGGGAAGAAAAGTTGAACTTTTGTTTTTATGACAAATTTTCATTGCTGAATGAATAAATAAATTTTGCTGCCACCACCATTATTTAAAGAAATTTATTAAAAAATAAATGAAATCGAAATAACAGGTAATAACATCTGTTGAATTTTCTTGCTTATTTCCCTCGATATTCAACCAAATGTGGAATAAAATTGATTCTTGGTCTGAAATGATACTTTTTGTCCTGAAATAAAATTCTAATTTACTTTTTTTTAATGTATAAAAACTATCACCCCCCCCCCCCGCCCAGCATCCGGACATTACGTCTCTGATATTGTTGCAATGGTTTTTTTTCTATATTGCCCCGTAGGTAATAAATAATAATACTTTTTAAAACATATTGAAGAAGCAGGCTTAAACTTCTAAACACACCCTTCTGAAAGTATGGCCCTGCTATTGTTGTAGTGGGGTTTATCTGGATCCCATGATTCTCAGTTATATAAAATTAAAACTATAGAGAGGGGTGCTTGGCCCCCTAAATTCCAACTCTAGGACGTCCGTAAAATCAAATTTTTCAATTGACTTTAAAATTTAACTTGCCAAATGCCAAATTTTTGGTGCCTGGAAAATTCGTAACAGAAGATTCGGTTAGTTATTGAATTTTCTGTTACCTAATCTTCCGTTACCAAATTTTCCAGGCTGCACTGCAATATCAGGGTTGTACTTTCTGGATGATGAGGTTAGGGGCTAAGTTCTCCTCTAATATTTAAAAATATTTTTTAAATAAGTAAAATCGATTTATCTATGTTAAAGTTCTTGTATATGTATCTTCTTTTCAAATTACTATTTTAATACTTTTTAAAAATTATTGGGGAAGGAGGCCCAGCTCCTTAAACCTCCCTTCTGCAAGTACGGCTCTGTTATTGTTGAGGGTTTTTCTGGACCCCACGATTTTCAGTTATTTAAAAATATAGGAGAGAGGATTAGCCTCCAAATCCCCACTCCAGAACTGCCCTAAAATCAATTTTTAATAGACTTTTATTTCATAGTTCTCGAATTTTCCTACCCATTATTGTTCTACACCCTAGAGAAATAATACGACATATTATCACAACTCTTGACAATAGAAGATTTGTGTTTCTCTGTTGTTCAAAGTGTAATTTTTTTGCACATTTTTCAGTTGAAATAATTGTATATTACTTTATGATAAAGTAAGTATTATTGGTTTCAAATTGGATTAATTTAACTTTAAATTTGCTAATTTTACTCAAATAACATGTCACAAATATATACATTATTTTTGGAAAATTTTTAAAATCAAATGTCCAACATTTGTGAAAGGTACATTTTAACTATGGAGTGCCGAAAAAGTGCTGCTCTTTTTTAATGGAACGACTCCTTTTTGAAAACGGGGAGCGTGAGGAGAGCCAGCTCCAATTTTGTGTATGGGAGTGGGAGTAGCTCCAAAAATAGTGAAGCATTTTTTTTGCATTATTTACTGTTATTATTGTTGCTTTATATGATGCGAGATTCATATACTTTTCAATTATGAAAGCAAACAGCATAAAATAAGAAATAAAGAGTTTCAAATGAAACTTGCATCGTCTTGGAAATCCATCTTCTATAGATGGAACCATAACTACTTTGACTGTAGATTAAGTGAGGACAAATTTCTTGTCATTCTGCCATCTCTTTTTGATGTTTTGACACCAATTTTCTTACCTATCAATAATGCCCTATTATGGCTATTATTTCTCTGCAGAGAAATGTTTCTCATATCTCCGCTCCAGGAAAAATATGCATCTCTTGAATAAGCAATTATAGATTTAATAATTGTCTTACAATGTCAGAAACTTAGCTACGATAATGTACAAAAACAATTTCAAACAATAAAAATGAAATTATACAAGTATATAATTCATTTTTACACACACAATACTTTAAAGTGAAGTATTCAAAAATTCTTCAAATTAAATTTTTTTATATTGCTCAACTTTGTGAATTTAAAAAAAGAAATCTCCAAACTGGATCAATTGAGTTATACTGAAGTTTAATTTCTTTATATTTGTTCTACATCTTTTGTCAGTAAAATACAAAATCATTCAGAAGCTCCATAAAGGAGCATCATATAGTGTGAGAATTATTTTTAGAAAAAGCATGTGAATAAATGATAAAATATAGAGGTAAAACGATTTCTGATCCTACTTTAAGATAAAGAATTGTTTACTAAAACTTGATGAAAATTTTATTAAATATTTTAGTTTTATTTTGTAGAAATTAAAAAGATGTCTAAATTTATTGACATGACAATAATCGATAATATTAGTTTTACCAATGAAGTATGTCAAACTTTGCTAATACCAAAACAAAGACAATCTGCTAATTTTAAATTTTGATTATTGTAATTTAACATAACCAAACAAATTTCTGAAAACACTTCAACCAAATTTTACAGAATCATTTGGTTATATATAACAGAATTAATGGAAGCAATTTTTTCTATCTTATTTTTGCACAAACAATTTCTTCTTGCATTTAACAAATATTTTTTGTTGATATTAATGAATTCATTGGACCTTCCTTGCTGTTTTGAGCCACTGTGTTTTTAAACAAAGTTTTATTTTTTTTTAGGAGTGGGACAAAAATGAGCCAACAGTATTACATAACGACTGGTATTATAGTACAAGGAGATGTTGAAATGTTTTCGGCCCCAATTCATTTTCTGAAACATGACTGAACAAAAATTTCTTTGGAATCTCTTCTTGGTTAGGCTGAGAGCCTTTCAGTACCTGTTCATATCTATATCTCCCATTAGGATGGAAAGGGTTAATAATCAAATTGCAAAGCAGTTAATATCATGACAAATATGTATTAATGAGATTTTTTTTAAAAAACAAAAACAAAAGAAAATTTCACAATCACTGTATTCTGCAAAATAAGAATAACTTGCAAGTAACAAAGGATTAAAAGAGTTATCAGTAACTTTTTTTTCAAATAGATTATTTCATTTATATAATTTATTTTATCTTATTTTTTTATACATAAACATCTAGTTTTCCAATTGATATTTCTTCAAATGTGGCTGCAAAGTCATTTGGATTAAAGTTTTACATTACTATTCCATCAAATATATTAATTTGTCTATAGGTACTTTTTAAATATATATTAGCATTCTTTTTATTCAGTGATAAATCTTTCATTTTAATTTTCTTATTTTGCGGAAAAAGCTCTATTGCAATATTCAATGAAAATATTTTTAAAAGACTTAGATGGATTTTTAATACAAATATATATAGAAGGAAACCATACTTTTAAAATAGTGCTATAGTGTAACTTGAGTTATATATAATTGTGTAAGAAAGTACTAACATAGTATATAAGTTACATTACTCTTATGTGAAAACATTTTAATTAATCTTCATTCCAATTTATCATTTTGATAATAAACAAATTGAAATTTAGAAAAAGGAATTAGAAACAATTATAATTACATAGACTTTTGAAAGTTAGAAAAAAATTGTTCCTTTTAAGCATTATCTTAAACTGTATTTAACCTATTAATGCCCATCATAAAATTTGGTTTTAATTATAGATTCCTATCTCTATTAATTTATAATTCTCATTATCCTAATTTTGGGCAGTGGTAATTAAAGGGTTAAATGCAAATTGCTGCCATTTATTTTTATCTTAAACTATCAATTTTTGCTACTCTTTAGATCAGATCAAATGATTTCTGATTAACAACAACTGAGGCTAGGTGACAATAGACATAATATGTTAATATACTGAACACTTGGAGAAAACAGGTTAAAACTTATTTGCTGTCTTTAGCATTCAGAATGTTAAAAAGTGGAAGAACACCAGAAAATAAATAAATGAAGAGATGCCTTGGAAACACACACAAATAAAAAGGTACTCTTCTGACTTCTGACTTACTCTTGCTACTGAATCTCCTTCAGCAGGTTTACCACCATAATGCTACAAATAAAGAAATTCCCCAAAAAATAAAGTAAAAAATGTATCCCAATTGACTGCAAAAACAAAATGCATATGTATATCTTTATACATATGCCCAGATATGAAATATATATATTGTGTATATATATATATATATATATATATATATATATATATATATAAAACATAATGACAAATATATGTAATAGAAATATACATTTAAAATAAATTTCCTAAAAGAAATATTAAATATATGTAAATAACTGTATGTCAAATTAAAAATAGAAGAATTTTGAATGTATGTGGTTGAATGTAGATATGAAGACACTTTTCTTCATGCCTATTAGTTAAATTTTAAAAAATATTCAAGAATTCAAAACATTTATAAGCTGGATTAAATGAATATCTTGTGTTAATATCTTTATACTGAAGATATTTTTAACCAGTAAAAACTATGCTTTTAATATGGGAACATTAAAATAAAGGATATAAAAGTGGGATAAATTTTTTAAGAGAAAAAGCAAAACACAATTATAAAAAGTGATTATAGCAAATCCTCAATTAATATTATTTTGTTTAATGCTGTATTTTAATTATACACTGATTTATTTGAACTTGTGTCATCTTGGTTCTATAGTCAATGTTTTGCTGTTGAACCCTTCAACCACCTAGAGGATACTTAGAATTTTGAACTGAACACATAGAATTCATGGGATTAGTGAAAGAATTGACACATGCTAGGCTTGGATAACTTCTTCAATAAACCTAGCATAGAATTGAATACCATGTAAAAAGCCAAGTAAAAAATAATTAGGTTTAAAGATCTAAAATCAGACAATCTGATTGTCCTAGTATATATTAGTGTTGGTTAAGTGTTGCAGTTTAATAAGCAGTTAAGAGAGTTCAGTCCCTAGTTCAGGTAGTGGAATTCATATTTTCTGGTTCTGAGAAACTAGTGGAAGCAACACAATGATGGCGGGCAGGGGAGCAGAAAAATTAATACGAGTAATCTCCCCTAGCATGGACAGATGAATGAGAGTTCTGTTGATTAAATTTCAGTTCAGTTCAACATTCCAAACAGTATCTGAATTTTGTAATTTATAATCAAGATTAGGACAACGGCTTAAATCTGTGCATAGTAAGCATAATTCCTCATTTCAGAAAAGTGATCTTTTAGTGTTAATGCAAACCAATTTGAGGCAATAAAGCAGCAGCATTGTGGGTCAACAGCTATTTACCTACCCCTAACTCCACAATGTACTTTCATAAACTGGACTTGAAAAAGAGCAATGGTAATTGAAGATTTGCTTAAAGTTAAAATCACTTTGCAAAAATGTACATCTTTTAAGAATTTCTAATCAAAATTGATTTTTCTTGTTAGTTATTTCAAATATTAAAAGAGTATCTTTCATTTTACAAATTGAGCTTGACAAAAAAAAATTATCAGTTATTTTGTATATTGAATATTACTGAAGATGAAAACATTGGAAAAATAAAATTGTGGAATTTTAAGTTAGGGAAAAGAATTTGTGAAAAGAAAAAATATTGGAAAGGATAAAAACCAAAAATGGGGGAAGAAAAGAAAAAAGAAACACAAAATCAAACAGGGTGAATTATAAATACAAAGACAACACTACTTTCACTCACACAACCAAATCAATTGACAATTTCACTGGTGAACTTCACATAATATGACAATGACCTTTCATGTAGCAGTTATAAAGATTTGTCAGCTTAATTTAAAGCCCTCTTTAGTAATTACTAAAATGTGTAAAATTTGAAAGCTAGTGTAGTCATTCTTGTGAATGATTTAGTCTAAATTAATAGAGATGTAAAAAAGAAAAAAAAAAGAAAAAAAGAAGCATGACAGAGCAAGAAGAAATTTTATACAAACTAGTGTACAAAGTGATTAAATTGACAATTTCACATTTACAGATCCAGGTCTGTTTGGAGCAAATCCAAAAGTTGTCCAAAGTGTTTAATATTGAACATCACTTTTTCAATCAAGGAGATAACAGATTCAGGAATAGTGATATGAAGGGATAAATGGCTAAAAATAAAATTTTTTAAAATCAAAGTTTCTATTAATTTTGTGACAAGATTGAAAATAATTGAAATAAAAGATGAATCTTTTCAATTACATCATAATTCTTAAATATATTGTTTAATGCCATATTCTTATCCTTAATTCTATTAAGAGTATGTTTTATGTGACATTAATTTTTTAAAAAGTTAAGACCTAATAAATCATGAATTTACGAATAAATTATTGAAGTTAGTACCTGAAATATTTGTAAGTATCCAAATGATAGCTTTTTTTCAAAATTATAATTATTCATGTGAGTGAATGAAAAAATTAATTGTTGTGAAGAGAACAACTGGAATTTGAGTGGTGGAACTTAAAATGGTTGCCATTTTTGCATTATACATCAGTAATCTTGAGATTATCAGACATTGAAAATATAATTTCTGAATTTTAAATTTCACTTTGTACACTATAAATCATTTGGAAGCAGTGCTGTGAATTTCACATTCTATTTAGAATTTCTAGATATACTAAACTGCATATTTTTGGAGCTACATAGCAAGTGCAAGAAAGAGTAGAAGAGCTGAAATAAAACCCCCTTTGATTAATTAATAATACCAAAAAACTTTCTGTTAAGAATCTTATTTAGTTACTAAATAAACATTTACTGAAATAAACACTTAAATTATAGAAATATATACAGGTAATTGAGATACAATTCAAGAATAAAAGGAAGTTTAAAAGAATTATTAAATAATCTGGAAAAAATTAATTATAATAGACTGCAATATATAAGTAAAAAAATGCACATATATATAATGGAATCACGTTTTCATTAAACGAATAGAAAAATAATCAGTTTTAAATGTAAAAAGCAGATTTCTTTTCTGTAGGTTGTACCAAACAGAACATTTAAATGTTTAACACGAAATTTCAACTTTTCAATTAGGAGTTATTTCCCTTGACTGTTTTATAATAGAGAGTACTAATTGATTTAATTACCAGAGATGTAGAATGATCAGCCATTCATTCAATACAGCAATTTTTATATGCAAAAGCCAAGATTCGCCCTACAAATCTTATATTCACACGTACAAATATTTATATAAACATATTTAGCATTTTTATACAATTTATTGATTTAATATAAAAACAAGATGAGCATTACTTCCCTTATTGAGACGTGTGTGTTTTGATTTTGTCTAACTATTAAATGTATGAAGTTAAATTAATTACTGAGAGCAGAAGAGAATTCTTTAAATTTTAATCAGCCAAGATTGATCTTATTTTTTGTTTTAATTAATTCTTAAATGAAAATGTTTGTTTTATTCCTTTCAGAAGTGTGAAATTTAATTCTTTACTTAATTCTGGAAATGTTTCACCAGGTAATGATTGCAAGAAATTAATGTCACAAATATTTAGGCTTGAAGGGGACTCAAATATTTTTTTTTCACTAATGAATTTGTTCTCAAGTCAATAAGTTCCATCTCTATTTTACAAGGCATCTTCATTTTTTTTGTTTGCTAAGTGAAAATATTTCATAAGTGTAGAAATCCTTAGAAATGACTAGTTTCAATTTCATCTTAACTGCATTGATATTATTTACTAAGGTGCTCTTGCCCTTTAATCAAACTTTAATCATCAAGATTTTTGCCAATACCAAAAATACCAATTTTTGCCTATTCAGTTTTCTTGCATTTATGTATTTTACAACTGGCAATATAAGGAAAGTTTAAAGAATACCTCCCACCCAACTCTTTCTCTTTGGGATAAGTAAAGGATACTCTAAAAGGTCTTCAATCAAAGCTGTTGTTCCAGCAGCTTTATCTATAATAAATAGTATTTCATGAAAACATGCTTGATGGAATCCAGTTGTAACTTTATATAAAAAATATTTTTATACCCAATATTTTTCTTGAAGGTTTCTACAAGAACTCTTTCGCCACCCCTGACATTGTTCAGTGAATAGCATATTTTCTATCATTTTCTTTTTTCTTGTTCATTTTATTTTGTATTGTTATGGAGTAAATAAAAAGTTAAAAAAAAATAAAGGGAAGAAATTTTTTTAAAAAAAGTACAAAACTGAAAACAAAGTATAACTTTATATTTGAGTGTTCATTGTAAACTGGTGTCACTTTTTGAGCATGTGACGACTATCCCTACTCCAGATCACTTAATATTTAGTAGTATGAATTTTACAAAGGTATGAAGAATGTAATTGTAACACAAATTTTTTTTTATAATAGTTATTTGAAGTCTAACTGAAAAACGCTCTAAAAGTTTTGAAAGATGAAATCTAATCTTGATAAACTTAATGTTTTAAAGATAACCAAATCAGAAATTAAAGTCAAGGGAAGTAACTCGTATCAATTACTTGTCGATGGCAACTTAAAAAAAGAAAGTAAAGCATGAATTAATAAATGAAAAGACAAAGAATGAATAAAAGACATTAAAAAAATTTTTTTCAAAGCCAAAGCTTAAAGATTTTATAAAATCCACAATCTTGACACTGAGGCAAAAATCATAAGCGACAAAAAGGAGAGAAAGATTTAGTATTCAGTGCTCATTTAAACACTCTTGGTTGATTAGTTGACTAGAAAGGATTTTGGTAAATAAGCATTTTTTCTACAGATTTATTAACTTCTTTAGAAATTTAATCCTATCATTATACTGCCATCTTAATGTTTTAAGATATTGTGTAGGTTTCTTTATTCTTTGCACTACATTTTCAGTATTTGAAATTAAAAAAAAAACAAGAAAACAACAACTTCCAGTTTACAAATAAACATTTTTAACTATCAATATAAATGATAAATATATAATTGATACAAAAATGTTTTTAAAGATATACTTGACCTATTTAAGAAACTCAATTTTTACAAATGATTAAAATATAGTTCAGGAAAAGTTCTCTGCTCACTCCATTGACCAAGTAATCAAATATAAAATTCATCTTTTTTGGTTTAACTTAGAACTTTTCAGCACCTCATTGTAA